GACTTGTAGTTTTCAAGAAGAATTCGAAAAAGTAAAACATTGACACGAACGACGACGGACAATCACTCATATGATAAGCTCCGCTCGACAAAGTCGACAGCGGAGCTAAAAAAATGTGTCTAATTAAAAGTACAAAGTGCTGAGAAAAATATTTGTCTACAGAATATAATTAGATTTAAATTGGAAGAATATCATTATCATAAGTTGGCACACAGCCGAGTCACTTTTAGCTTGCATATTAGGGAAGATTAATTAGCCATTTAATTTATGACAAATGAAACAAAAACTCAACTTACAATTAACAATATCAGGTGCATTAGAAAATAAGGTACCACAATAAAGTCGTGTGTACTAAAAGAAAAGAGCACCCTAGCTAGGTACTAAATTGCAATATGGCACCATCATTTCAACAAAAACTCCTGAACTTGTACTCAAACAATGAGTAGATTTACATGACGAATCACATGATGTACTTTAACCAATCAGTGACAAGAAATCATACCTGGTAATCAGCAGTTGATGGCTGATCAGTTGGTGGAGCAGTAGTTAGATTCTGTAACTTTGCTTTCTGTTTGGCTTGCTTACGGAGGACATATATGATAAGTACAGCAACTAAAATACCGGCTACACAGCCTACCAGGATAAAGGTGAGGACGATGAAGCTTGGTGTATGGGAAGGAACGTGCTCCACGACCTGAACATGGGACTGCAAGAAAACACAAACACAATAATAGTTAAAATATAAGTAATACTGGTGGTATACATATCATGAAATTAAAGATAGATACAGCAAAAACTGAGACTGATTATTTGACTCTCCCCCAACGACAAATTTTTAATACAATATGGCAGCCAGAGAAGGGCTCGTCGCTATAGAGAATCAAAAAGTCATTGTTTCCATGGGAACAAGTTTGGTACTAACAATTTGAATTTCACCCATATTAATTATTAGAAAATTTCAATTTGCAAATTTTTTGTACTTTTTAATTATCCACATTTTTCCCTAGTAAGTCATGTCCATAACTGAATAATATTGTATTTTTTCCATATTTGATCCAGGATGATAAATAGTTGCCTATCACTTTAGGGAGAAGGTTCTGTGGGGTTAAAAACAGGATTAACTACTAGCTAGCATCTCTTGGACAACCACCTGTTGAAGCATTTGATAACAACATATATTTAGAATATAATGTAAAAGCTAGCGTCATATTTGCAGAAAACAGCACTATGTAATATCCACTGTCATACTATCTTTCATTTAATTTTGATAAATACTAGTAGCGGATTATAGCCGGCATATTTATGATTGAAAACTGATATCATACATCGTTTGAGCTGATCATTACGGATATTCAGTGTGACGGTGATGCCCGAGTTTTTATGTCAAAACAAACCATAGAAGTCGAAATACTAACTGGCCTTAGTATCATTACTGCATAAAAGATGGTAGCCTCAGATGAAATGTATGCATAGAGCCAGCTAACGAGTTTTACCTTGATAATTAGTGATACGAAAATAGCAAAAGTTAATTAGCCTGTGATTTACAAGTACACACCACATCAGATTGTATGTTCCTGTGGGACTGAGTAATGTACCGATTCCAACCGATATCTGGTGACCTATGCAACTCTTGAACTATGACCCCTACACAGAGTATATCACATTTATGTATCATCAGATGCAAAACAGAACTGCACACCTGCCTAGAAATGATGTTGCTATGGAAACAACTGAATCTTTCACTCAAGATTGTTTGACAAATAAAGATTCTTGACTACCAAAGCTTATTTTAGTAATAGTGGAAGATTAGGGAAATTAAAATTCAAAAAAAGTCCTTTGCTTGCATTCAAAAGAGGAAAAAAAAAGACAGCTTTCCCAGATGTTTTTGCAATTACAGAGTAAATCAATATATCAATTCAGCATAGGAAATCAGCTACAACTAATAATTCTACAAAATACGAACATTTATGTAAGGCGCAAGAATTTTCAAAACATGAAAAACACAGCAACAACCTTTAATGGCAGTTCAACCTCGTTTACTGCCATGTTTGTCATCAATTGTTAGCAAAGAGAAACAGTGGCATAGTCACCATGATATTTCACGGGATATTTAACGACAGGATACAGTGCAGAAAATTAATAACCTGCACCAAAATCTGGACTAATCGCATCAGAAAAAAAGAGACGCACCGGAACAAGAAATACAATCTTGTTGTTAAACACACAAGAAGACGAGGTAGCATCAGGTGTTAAAAATGAAAAGATAATGATAGCGCCATTCTACGCAGACACCGCCCACCTGAGACTTATCCTCTAGTACAAGTTGCCTTTTGTCAGATTTCAAACGAATATATCATGGCACATACGGAGGACTTCTTAAGTTAGACTCTGTAATTAGCACCCTCAGACACGTCTTCTATTAAAGTTGATGGCAAGAAAAGATAATTGCAAATTAAGACCGACTTGGCATGGTTAAAAATGGTAATTCCTGCAAATAAAACCACTAGATAGTTTTCATTTTGCCATAACAATGCTTAGATGTGCGAGAGAAGTGTGTCCAACTGGAGGGGGGGGGGGTGGCGCAGTGAAATGTCAATGAGGGAAGAGATAAAACACCCTTGACGACTACTAATTAGCGAATCTCTCCACGTTAAAACCCATACACTTGTGTTTCTCAGTTTTAACTACTGAGTTTAATACTGCTTGTCGTTCCGCTGTAAATACAGCAGATAGGCAAGAATGGGTAAATTCACACATGTAGAAAATCAAAGAGCGTCACTATACGCGAATTATTATTCAAGCAATCAGTTTCTCTTAAAGGAAGCCGATCGCGATGCAAGAGTTGAGAAATAATAAACACCAATTTGTCATGGAACATGCTTGCTTTCTGCGCTTGGGTGACAACCATAATGTGAATAGTTGGAGGCGATTTGAAGCGGATTTTGTTGTATGCGGTTTCTACATATAATCCTTGTATTGAATTTCTCAGTTGAATCCACATTCTGTTTTAAGTTATAAAATATTAAGACCCCAGCACGTGAATAATAGATAAAGGAAGAATCCAAGAGATTTTGCTTATTCCTAAATTAATCATAAGTCTATCAACAATTTAACTCTAATCTTTCCTAATCATCATCCGTCCTTTCCATTTCTTTTTAATTTGATCAACCGTATCTTTTAATTTAAAGATATGGGGTAGGAGGGGGGGGGGGGGTAGTTGGAAATTTAAGTCTACCAACCAGATGTAGTCACATGACTTTGACAATTTAACCATTTACATCAACAATTCTGATGAATTTGGTAACTCTATAATTTGCAAAAAAAAACAAATTATCAGAATATCCATATATGAATGGAAAGAGAAAAAACAATAGGTAGAAATGCAATCAAAACAAAAGTCCAGGGAAGCTCAGGAATCAAAAAATGCATATTGAAGTTACATTTAAATAATTAAGTGACTGCAAATAGTCATTCTTAGTGTAATTTGAAAGTTCTTTTCATTAATTTTATCAATGACCTATTACGATTTCTTAATAATGACCGCAGATCAAGGCCATTTTCCACATGAATTGAGATAAGCTTGTGCTCAGGTTTTTTGAATAAAAGCGAGATTAGAAAGACAGAAGCATAACATTCGACTCAAAAATCTTATTCAGAATATCTCCATTGACATCAAGATGAACAACACAGCAGTCAGAAAAATTTTCTTTTTTTTTTCTTGTTTGTTATCTACGCTGTTTGATAATTTTACCAGTGTGTCTACATCTATCTATTTCATGAATCATTTGCATGTTGTAATCTAAAGACCCCCTAAGCTGAGATACAAACTACTGAAAGAACACCTAACACAATGTAGAAAAAAATGTACAGTTTTTTTTTAAAAGCATGATCAAGAAACTAAAATTGGGAGTGCATTACAATGAAAAAAAGGAATATTGTTTTAAAATGCTCAACATTTTAAGAAATAAAATTATCTTTATTTTCTGTTATATTTTGCAATTGAACAACAGATGAGACAATTAAACAATCATTCTTGTATTCCCATTATTTACAATGACAAAACCAGCAGGCATGGGCGACTGTCTGCTGCCTAGATTCATCTGACATTTTCAAAAACTCTCAATTATCAAGGTTTCATCCCAAAGATTTTAATGTACATTACACACCACTCCCCGGGGCAGATTCTCTGACAATTTTCTTGGCAAAAAAAAAAAAAAAAAAAAAATGCATGCCCACCAAAGCGGGGTTGCGTCAAAGAGAGGTACTCAATTCGGTTTAGCTTTAGGGTAGCTGATACAAACAGAGATCCCTAAAGATACAAACAGTCAGCGATGACTGCAGCCAAAACAGTGATGTGTTGCTACAAGCATTTAATCTTATTAAAACGTTGTATGAATAAAAGACAACCCGATGAAATCCGTGCAGAGATGCAAGTCAAAGGTGTGTTTCCCTTATAGTCACTGACGCACTAATGACGCTCGATAGAAACAGGCATCAAATATGCTTTACGGCTTGTTATGTTCACCATGGTGTCGCAAATAATTTTCACAAATCACAGGATACTAGCGTAGGTACAAGTGTTCTGAACCCCATATTCTAGAATGAACGATACTAATGTAAGATGTAACAGTTGACAAAAAAACAATTGTGTTGCATCTCGTTATACAAAAAAAAAAACCATGGATATGATTATTTCTGTATCACCGTGTCCTGTGACCTGAGGGGATTGAAAAACTCACTGAGACGGAGAAGCCAGTGTAGCATTCTGCTAGAACACTGTATTAAACTAGTGAAGTGAAGTGAAAACCACTTTTCCTGCAGCTACTTTCTGATCAAAAAAGTTACATTACCCAAATGTTACTTATTGCTGTATTTTTTCTACAGTAAAGAATGTAATGTAAGGCTTGCAGACATCTGGAAAATGATTAAAAAAAGACACCACTGGAGGCTATTGCCGAAAACTTTAGTGGTTTCTTATGATTATCTCAATGCCAATTACTAAGAAGCTATAGAAAGCATCCACAAAAATGTCTGCAGTCAACATGAGAATTACCCTATTAGATGTCATCCTCGTATAGACCTAACGATGGCTGTAAGAATCACAAGACAAATCATTTCAAACTATCCAGTGTTCTTGCATATCTTATCGTTTTTTCGACATAGATACTGGTATTATTTCTTCTTTTCTGACAAGACCAGATTGCAAAATCAATATATTGACAGAACCAAAATGCAGGCACAGTTCATCTTTTTGATACTCTTTGTTGACAATGATAATGATACATCTATATATTGAATTTTCCATATAAATAGCTTTATATGATATATGTGTATTTTCTCATTTTTCTTCAATCAGAAATGACCTCAATAATTAATTTTGATCTCGTTGTCTGAAACTGCCTTTATTACAAAACATCTTGGGTATTGCACGTAATGTTCTGCTAATTAATTTTACACAAAAACTTTTGGGACAGGAATTTCCTGAAACTTTGCTAAGGTATTCTTTGTGTTTATTCCAAAGAAAAAAATGGTTAGCCACGTCCTTTTTCAAAACACGACAACCAAATAAAAAACAAGGAAATTTTAAGAGCACTAAAATTGTTCATATTATACAGAATGAAAGGTTTTATACAATAAATGACAAGGAGTGAATAAAAATCAGGATTATTCTGTGATATCTCTGTAGTGTTAAAAACCCTACAACTT